AACTGGGCTATGTGAGCCAGAAAAGCTCAACATTATACGACATATCCTACAGCATCAGGAGTCTCCAAACTATGGCTCATGTACAGAATCCAGCCTGCTGAAGATTTTATCTGACCCACAGCTAGGGTCAGTGGCCACTTACACAAGTTTTCAGGTCAGCTGATGGTCCGTTTCTCTCCAACATCCACAACCCCTACTAAGGACTTAAGGGGGATCCTGATGGGGACCCTGGTGACAGAGGTGACTCTGATGGGGTCCCTGATTAAAAGGGCGACTCTGATGGGGACCATGGTCAAAAGGAGTGACTTTTATGGGGACTCTGATGAAAGGGGTGACTATGATAGGGACTCTGATTAAAAAGGGGCGACTCTGATGGGGACCCTGATAAAAAGGGGTGACTCTGATGGGGACTCTGATGGGGACCCGGATTAAAAGGGGTGACTCTGATGGGGACCCTGATTAAAAGGGGTGACTCTGATGGGGACTCTGATGAAAGGGATTACTCTGATGGGGGCCCTGATTAAAAGAGCGACTCTGATGAGGACCCTGATTAAAAGGGCTGACTTCTATGGGGACCCTGATGAAAGGGGTTACTCTGATGGGGACCCTGATGAAAGGGTTTACTCTGATGGGGACCCTGATGAAAGGGGGTACTCTGATGGGGACCCTGATTAAAAGGGCGACTCTGATGGGGACCCTGATTAAAAGGGGTGACTCTGCTGGGGACCCTGATTAAAAGGGGTGACTCTGATGGGGATCCTGATGGAGACCCTAATTAAAAGGGCAACTCTGATGGAGACCCCGATTAAATGGGCAACTCTGATAGGGAAGTTTATTTAAAAGGGCGACTCTAATGGGGACCCTGATTAAAAGGGCAACTCTGATGGGGAACCTTAACAAAAGGGGTGACTCTGATGGGGACCCTGATGGAGAACCTGATTAAAAGGACTACTCTGATGGGGACACTGATTAAAAGGGGTGACACTGATGGGGACCCTGAGTAAATGGGTGACTCTGATGAGGACCCTGATTAAAAAGGGTGACTCTGATGGGGACCCTGACGAAAGGGGTGACTCTGATGGGGACCCTTATTAAAAGGGGTGACTCTGATGGGGACCTTGATTAAATGGGTGACTCTGATGGGACCCTTATTAAAATGGGTTGACTCCGATGGGGACCCTGATTAAAAGTGCGACTCTGATGAGGACCCTGATTAAAAGGGGTTACTCTGATGGGGACCCTGATGAAAGGGGTTGCTCTAATGGGGACCCTGATTAAAAGGGGTGACTCTGATGGGGATCCCAATGGAGACCCTAATTAAAAGGGCAACTCTGATGGAGATCCTGATTAAAAGGGGGTGACGCTGATAGAGCCCTTGATTAAATGGGCAACTCTGATGGGGAAGTTTATTAAAAAGGGCGACTCTGATGGGGACCCTTAACAAAAGGGGTGACTCTGCATGGGACCCTGATGGAGAACCTGATTAAAAGGGTTGACTCTGATGGGAACCCTGATGAAAGGGATTACTCTGATGGGGACTTGATTAAAAGGAGTGACTCTGATGGGGACCCTGATGAAAGGGGTGACTCTGATGGGGACCCTGATGAAAGGGGTGACTCTGATGGGGACCCTGATTAAAAGGGGTGACTCTGCTAGGGACCCTGATTAAAAGGGGTGACTCTGATGGGGACTCTGATGGAGACCCTAATTAAAAGGGCAACTCTGATGGGACCCTGATTAAAAGGGGTGATCCTGATGGGGAACTTGATTAAATGGGTGACTCTGATGGGGACGCTTATTAATAAGGCGACTCTGATGGGGGACCCTGAATAAAAGGGGGGACACTGATGGCGACCCTGATTAAAAAGGAAACTCTGATGGAGACCCAGATTAAAAGGGGTGACTCTGCTGGGGATCCTGATTAAAAGGGGTAACTCTGATGGGGACCCTGATGGAGACCCTAATTAAAAGGGAAATTCTGCTGGGGACCCTGATTAAAAGGGGGTGACTCTGATGGGGACCCTGATTAAAAGGGGTGACACTGATGGGGACTCTGATTAAAAGGGAAGACTCTGATGGGGACCCTGATTAAAAGGGGTGACTTTGATGGGGACCCTGATGAAAGAGGTTACTCTGATGGGGACTCTGATTAAAAAGAGCGCGACTGTGATGAGGACCTTGATTAAAAGGGGTGACTCTGATGGAGACCCTGTTGAAAGAGGTTACTCTGATTGGGACCCTGATTAAAAGGGCGACTCTGATGGGAACCCTGATTAAAAGGGTTGACTCTGATAGGGACCCTGATTAAATGGGTGACTCTGATGGGGACCCTGATTAAAAGGGGTGACTCTGATGGGGACTCTAATTAAAAGGGGTGACTCTGATGGGAACCCTGATTAAATGGGCGACTCTGATGGAGACGCTTATTAAAAGGGCAACTCTGATGGGGACCCTGAATAAAAGAGCAACTCTGCTGCGGACCCTGATGGAGAACCTGATTAAATGGACGACTCTGCTGGGGGACCCTGATTAAAAGGGGTGACACTGATGGGGACCCTGATGAAAGGGATTACTCTGATGGGGACTCTGACTAAAAGGGAGTGACTCTGATGGGGACCCTGATTTAAAAGGGGTGGACTATGATGGAGACCCTGATGAAAGGGGTGACTCTGATGGGGACCCTGATTAAAAGGGCAACTCTGATGGGGACCCTGATTAAAAGGGGTGACTCTGCTAGGGACCCTGATTAAAAGGGGTGACTCTGATGGGGACTCTGATGGAGACCCTAATTAAAAGGGCAACTCTCATGGGGACCCTGATTAAAAGGGGTGATGCTGATGGGGACCTTGATTAAATGGGCAACTCTGATGGGGACCCTGATTAAAAGGGGTGACTCTGATGGAGACCCTGATGAAAGGGGGGTGACACTGATGGGGACCCTGATGGAGACCCTAATTAAAAGGGAAACTCTGCTGGGGACCCTGATTAAAAGGGGTGACTCTGATGGGGACCCTGATTAAAAGGGGGGTGACACTGATGGGGACTCTGATTAAAAGGGAAACCCTGCTGGGGACCCTGATTAAAAGGGGTGACTCTGATGGGGACCCTGATTAAAAGGGGTGACACTGATGGGGACTCGGATTAAAAGGGAAGACTCTGATGGGGACCCTGATTAAAAGGGGTGACTTTGATGGGGACCCTGATGAAAGAGGTTATTCTGATGGGGACTCTGATTAAAAGAGCGACTTTGATGAGGACCTTGATTAAAAGGGGTGACTCTGATGGGGACCCTAATTAAAAGGGGTGACTGATGGGGTCCCTGATTAAATGAGTGACTCTGATGGGGACCCTGATTAAAAGGGGGACACTGATGTGGACCCTGATTAAAAAGGCAACTCTGATGGGGACCCTTAATAAAAGGGGTGACTCTGATGGGGACCCTGATGGAGAACCTGATTAAAAGGGCAACACTGATGGGGACCCTGATTAAATGGGTGAGTCTGAAGGGGACCCTGATGAAAGTGGTTACTCTGATGGGGACTCTGATTAAAAGAGCGACTCTGATGAGGACCCTGATTAAAAGGGGTGACTCTGATGGGGACCCTGATTAAAAGGGGTGACTCTAATGGAGACCCTGATTGAAAGGGTAACTCTGATGGGGACCCTTATTAAAAGGGGTGACTCTAATGGGGATCCTGATTAAAAGGGGTGACTCTGATGGAGACCCTGATGGAGACCCTGATTAAAAGGGCAACTCTGATGGGGACCCTGATTAAAAGGGGTGATGCTGATTGGGACCCTAATTAAATAGGTGACTCTGATGGGGGCGTTTATTAAAAGCGCGACTCTGATAGGGACTCTGATTAAAAAGGAAGACTCTGATGGGGACCCTGATTAAAAGGGGAAACTCTGATGGGACCCTAATTAAAAAAGCTGACTCTGATAGGGACTCTGAATAAAAGGGAGACTCTGATGGGGAGCCTGATTAAAAAGGGTGACTCTGATGGGGACCTTGATTAAAAGGGGCAACTCTGATGGGGACCCTGATTAAAAGAGGTGACTCTGATGGGGACCCTGATTAAAAGGGGTGACACTGATGGGGATCCTTATTAAATGGGTGACTCCGATGTGGACACTTATTAAAAGGGTGACTCTGATGGGGACTCTGACTAAGAGAGGGACACTGATGGGGACCCTGATTTATAAGGGAAGACTCTGATGTGGACCCTGATTAAAAGGGGAAACACTGATGGGGACTCTGATTAAAAAAGGTGACTCTGTTCGGGACTCTGAAAAAAAGGGAGACTCTGATGGGGACCCTGATTAAAAGGGGAGACTCTGATGGGGACCCTGATTAAATGGGGAGACTCTGATGGGGACCCTGATTAAAAGGGGTGACTCTGATTGGGACATTGATGAAAGAAGTAACTCTGATGGGGACCTTGATTAAAAGGGGGGAGTCTGAGGGGACCTTGATGAAAGGGGGGAGTCTGATGGGACCCTGATGAAAGGGGGACCCTGAATAAAGGGGGGTGTGAGGGGGAATGGTTTAAAGGGGGCACTCATGAGAACCCTGATGAAAGGTGGGATGCTCAAGGGGACCCAGATGAAAGGAGGGACTCTCATGGGGCCCTAATGAAAGGGGGAACTCTGAAGGGAATCCTGATGAAATTTGGGACTCTCATGGGACCCTGATAAAAGGGAGGACCTTTGACAGGGATCCTGATGAAAAGGAGGACCTCTAACAGAAACCTTGATTAAAGGGGGGACCTCTGACAGGGACCCTGATGAAAGGAGGGACTCTGATGTAAGGGTAACTGATGTAAGGGCAGACTTTGATGGGGACCTTGATATAAAGGGGGAATTCTGATGTAAATGTAGTTGACTTTGATGGGGGCTCCAATGCAATTGGAACTCTCAAGGGGTCCCCACTGGGATCCAGTTTATATGGAATTTCTTTGCTTTGTTTTACTGAATTTCTTTCTTTCTGTGTTGTTCAGAAACAACTGATTAGGAAAAAAAAAATAAATAAAGCTCCAGTTGTAATTAAATATTCTTCATTCATTTATAAAAGTGTGAACATTTGTGAAATATACATAATGGCCCCCAGGGGCGGACTGACAACTCATGGGGCCCCCGGGCAATAGGGGATCATAGGGCCCCTGTGTCCTTGCCCAAACTCAAAAAAAGCCTATGGAAAAGGTACCAGGGGCATCTCATGGGGCCCCCTACTGACCCCGGGCCCTCGGGCAGTACCCGAGTTTCCATATGGTCAGTCCGCCCCTGATGGCCCCAATACTGAGGGGTTTGGAGACTCCTGCCTTAGAGCATTGCAGTCCCGGGTTCTGTGCTCGTTGAGGACATTAAGCCTTCACTCATGCTATTGCGGACCATGTGGTCCACGTGCAGGGGCGGACTGACCATTTGGAAACTTGGGCACTGCCCGAGGGCCCGGGGGTCAGTAGGGGGCCCCATGAGTTGTCAGTCCGCCCCTGTGCTGGGGTGTAGATTTCATCACCCAGGGAGTTGCCCGTACCACATACAGCTGCCAATACAAATGAATGGCTGCACACAGCCAAGCTCAGGTAGACACCAATGGCTTTTCCATCTGTGCTTACCCACGCATGTGCATATGGCGCTTTCTACCAAACATGCAACTTTCACGTTTGGGGAGAAGCGCCACATGTGCATGCGTGGGTACATGGACAAGCCATCTGCATTTACCGAGCACAGCCGTGTACAGCCATTCACTTGTATTGGCGGCTGTAAGCATGGCCGCCTACAGCCATTCCTGTGCGGGACTCCCGGGGTGCCAGAGAGCACTGAGGATTTCAAGCCTCTACACACAAGAACAGGAAGGTGCCCCCAGTACATGAGGTCTTATATTGAGAGGCAAGCACTTGTATGGGGGCATTGTATGATGTGAGCGCTGCCATTTATTTGTAGGTATAATCCTTCACAGAGGATAGAACAATGCTGCGATCCTCGAAGGCTGTGCTTTAGTCAATTCCTTCTTGCTGTTCTACTGATTTTAATTTTTCACTGCTGATTACTCTGCAATAGTAGCAAAAATTTAAACAGTTAAAAGTAGTTGCAAACGTGAATACAACAAATAATAATATCTCCTGCGCATAAGTGTGGGGGACAGAAGGCAGTGACCTTGATAAAGCTCAAGTAAATGTATGTATGGATAAGACAGTCATCCGGTATATCCGGTAAATGTATGTATCAGGATGTCCCACGGATGGACTAAGCCTTGCTGCTCTCACTCACGACTGGGGTAGTCCAGACCAAACTGCAAAGAGACAAAGCGAGAGTGTGCTGGCCTAGCGCAATATCAAAAGACAGCCACTTGGTACTATGACCGTTGGGGGGCCAATGGACCCCGACATCTAGATAAGAACCATCCTATGGCCAATTACGACTGACGCATTTTGAGGGCAACCCTCTTCCTCAAAACACGTCAGCCGTATTTGGCCATAGGATGGTTCTTATCTGGATGTTGGGGTCCATTGGCCCCCACTGTATTTGGCCATAGGATGGTTCTTATCTGGATGTTGGGGTCCATTGGCCCCCACTGTATTTGGCCATAGGATGGTTCTTATCTAGATGTTGGGGTCCATTGGCCCCCCACTGTATTTGCCCATAGAATGGTTCGTATCTAGACGTCGGGGTCCATTGGCCCCCCACTGTATTTGGCCATAGGATGGTTCTTATCTAGATGTTGAGGTCCATTGGCCCCCCACTGTATTTGGCCATATGGAATGGTTCGTATCTAGATGTCGGGGTCCATTGGCCCCCCACTGTATTTGGCCATAGGATGGTTCTTATCTAGATGTTGAGGTCCATTGGCCCCCCACTGTATTTGGCCATAGGATGGTTCTTATCTGGATGTCGGGGTCCATTGGCCCCCCACTGTATTTGGCCATAGGATGGTTCTTATCTGGATGTCGGGGTCCATTGGCCCCCCACTGTATTTGGCCATAGGATGGTTCTTATCTAGATGTCGGGGTCCATTGGCCCCCACTGTATTTGGCCATAGGATGGTTCTTATCTGGATGTTGGGGTCCATTGGCCCCCCCCCACCGGTCATTGTACCAAGTGGCTGTCTTTTGTTATGCGAAGTGTCATCACATGTGAGAATGTTTTCATCTTTACTACAACAAACATTTTTAAGGATAATGCTCTAGGCTGGCGGGCTCTTGCTTTGTCTCTTTGCAAAGTAGTTGTAAACCCTTACCTATACCCAGTGACGTGATTAGTCTAAGGAAATACACAGAGATGAAACAAATCCTACTATATAAGTTGTACCTGTTTATCTGCAGTATTCTCTTCTTTACAGCCATTCAAAGCGCAGAATTTATACAGCTTGTCTAGGCTTTCAGAAAACAAGTGGTGGGGAGCTGAAATTACACACTGCAGAGCTTAGTAAGGAGAGAATTTAAGTAAGAGCTGATTGGAGGGAAGGGACACTCCCCCTTCCCACAGAACACAGGAACAGAGCTGAGGCTTTCAAACATAGGCTGTGTGCTGGAAGTCCTTCTCGTCACCTTTTTTCTCTTGGTGTCAGGGAAATGTTCCAGAAGTGACTGATAGCAGATAGCGGGTAGAACAAGGGAGCAGACAGAAATGAGACTAAGTGCCCGATCATACCGGTGCAATTTCAGGTGCGATTTGCAAATTTAAATTGCACTGAAATGCAATTGCGCTATGGACGCTTCCCTTTGATTATTCCTATTGCACATCTCTGTGGCGGAGGAGGAGAAGTGGAACCTTTTTTCATTGGGAGAATCCCATCACATTGGGAGGACCTCATCACAGTGAATAATCCATTACAGTGGTTCCCAGGAGGAACGCACCTAAACAAGTGCTTTTGACCCACCTATTCATAGGGAGTCAACATTTTGCGGTGAGTGCGGTTCTGGAGGGGGAACACGAGTGTCAGCACAGATCACTAGCTATATATTATTGGCACCGGTTTCATCACCAAGTCACCAATTGCTTTTGTAGTATGTGGAAGGTGTCTTGTAGTACAGGGACACTGTTTACTCTATAAGGAATGAACTGGTTTAAAATATTGAACATTGTTTTTGATACATGGACATTTGTGCAAGTTGTGATAGGGGGAGGTGCATTGTAGCACCTGTCATAGACACTAATTAATTTAACTTCAAATTTATTTTATATTAATTTAATAGTTGATTTGGTATATTGATTGGTTCACCTAACACACACACTATATTACCAAAAGTATTGGGCCCGCCCTCCAAATCTTTGGATTCCGGTGTTCCAATCACCTCAGTGGCCACAGAATCAAGCACCTAGACATACAGATTGCTTCTACAAACATTTGTGAAAGAATGGGTCGCTCTCAGGAGCTCAGTGACTCCAAGCGTGGTACCGTGATAGGTTGTCACCTGTGCAATAAGTCCATCCATGAAATTTCCTGGCTACTAAATATTCCACGTTCAACTGTTAGTGGGATTATAACAAAGTGGAAGTAACTGGGAACAACAACAACTCAGCCACCAAGTGGTAGGCCACGTAAAATGACAGAGCGGGCTCAGTGCATGCTGAAGCGCACAGTGCGCAGAAGTCACCAACTGTCTGCAGAGTCAATAGCTAAAGACCTCCAAACTTGGTGTGGCCTTCATATTATCACAACAACAGTGTGTAGAGAGCTTCATGGAATGGGTTTCCATTGCTGAGCAGCTGCATCCAAGCCTTACATCACCAAGTGCAATGCAAAGCATCAGATGCAGTGGTGTAAAGCACGCCGCCACTGGACTCTAGAGCAATGGAGACGTGTTCACTGGAGTGACCAATCATGCTTTTCTGTCTGGTAATCAGATGGACATGTCTGGGTTTGGCAGTTGCCAGGAGAATGTTACTTGCCTGACAGCATTGTGCAAGTGTAAAGTTTGGTGGAGGGGGGATGATGTGGGGTTGTTTTTCAGGGGTTGGGCTTGGCCCCTTAGTTCCAGTGAAGGGAACTGTTAAGGCGTCAGTATACCAAGACATTTTGGACAATTTCATGCTCCCAACTTTGTGGGAAGAGTTTGGGGATGGCCCCTTCCTGTTCCAACATGACTGCGCACCAGTGCACAAAGCAACGTCCATAAAGACATGGATGAGCAGGTTTGGGGTGGAGGAACTTGACTGGTCTGCACAGAGTCCTGACCTCAACCCCATAGAACACCTTTGGGGTGAATTAGAGCGGAGACTGTGTAGCCAGGCTTCCTCCCCCGACATCAGTGCCTGACCTCACAAATGTCCTTCTGGAAGAATGGTCAAACCTTCCCATAGACACCCTCCTGAACCTTGTGGACGGCCTTCCCAGAAGAGTTGAAGCTGTTATAGCTGCAAAGGGCGGGGCCAACTCAATATCGAACCCTACAGACTAAGACTGGGATGCCATTAAAGTGAATTGTAGCCGCATGTCTCCCTTATCCCAGGTTCACATCTAAGCGTTTTCCGCAGCATTTTTCAGAAATGCACTACAGTCCATTTAACATGATTTCCTGTGGGAAACGTTCACCTGGTGTGGTTTTTTGGAAAGGGTCAGGAAATTTTTTGAGCACAAAAAGTAGCATTTTTGGTTCTATAGACTTCAATGGAAATACTGCAGAAAAGCGTGTTGTGCATTTTTGCCACGTTTTTGGATCATTTTTGATGCATTTTAAATCTGCCCTAAGAACAAAAAATGTTTTTTTAAAAATGCAAAATGTGGCAAAAACACATCAAAAATGCAGGTGCAAAAAGGCAATGCAAATTGCAATGCAGAAACGGGTCAAACGCAAACTGCACAGGTGTGAACCTAGCCTTAAGGCTCAAAACGCAGTTTTACCAATGCACACGTTCCTGCAAATTGCTATTCAGCATTGTCGGGTGCTGTAGCGCCCACAGGCTGGGAACCATAGAAAATCCAAGTGAAGAAATGTCCAAGAATTCTTCAGATGGGTCCAAAGCTTTATTTCCTGGTCACATGATAAATGGCATAAAGACAACGTTGCAGGGCCCCTTCGTCAGGCAAGTGGCGTCACTTGCCTGACGAAGGGGCCCGCATGGCTCCGAAACATTGCCTTTAGGTTTATCACATGGCCAGCTCAGTGGATTGCTTTAAAAAGTCCTGGATTCTTTCTCGGATACACAGAATATAACTGGATACTAACATTTATAGGTAAAGTTGATCCAGGGAATATCCGATTGCCTCTCGGGGGATCAGGAAGGAATGTCTTCCCCTGCACGAGCAAATTGGATCATGCTTTGCTGGGTTTTTTTGCCTTCCTCTGGATCAAC